ACTGTAGGGCAAGATGCAAAGCACAACTATAGTTAAGTAAAATATGGATCTTGGCCCGCTAGGGTATTCTTCAAATAGAAACCCCAAGTCAATAGGTTCCGTACCTGAGGGTAATTGACTTGTTAGAAATAGTGGGAGAGTATTTAATAAAGACCTATTAGATACTTAATTCATGATAATAACTATCTTCGCAAAATTCTGTAGATGGCAAACAACAACAACACAAACAACCTCGCCCTGCGTTCCATTCTGGATAAAGATAAATTGAATGGAACAAAGTTTGTTGACTAGCAACGCAATCTCTCCATTGTTCTCCGCATGGATGAGAAAGAGTATGTGCTCGAAAAGCCCATTCCTCCTGCCCCTCCCGCTAACGCCCCAAAAGCGGTTAAAGATGCCTACGAGAAACACGTTAAGGATGATAACCAGGTTAGCTGTGTCATGCTGGCAACCATGATAACCGAGCTACAAAAACAACACGAGGACATGAAGGCCCACGAGATGATCGTGGCCTTACGGCAGCTATACCAGGGGCAATCCAGGCATGAACATTTTCTTGTGAGTAAGGCTCTCTTTAGTTGCAAGCTCTCTTCAGGGAACTCGGTCGGTCCACACGTTCTCAAAATGATTGGTTACATAACCAATCTGGAGAAACTCGGGTTCAACTTGCAGAAGGAGCTGGCAACGGACCTGATCCTGTAGTCGCTCCCTGAGCTGTATAAGGGTTTTGTCATGAACTACATGATGCATGATCTTGACAAACCCCTTCCGGAGCTTCTTAAAATTCTCCAGACTGCAGAGGAGAACCTTACTAAGGGCAAGGGTGCTTCCGTCCTTATGGTCCAAGGCGGAAAGGGGAAGCCGAAGAAAGGGATTAAGATTAAGGCTAGGACGGTCGGAAAGCCTAAATCAAAGTCCACTTCATCTGCAACCCAGAAACCCGTAGGAGGAGTTGCAAAGGGCAAATGTCATCACTGTGGTAAGGCAGGCCACTGGAGAAGAAACTGCAAGACATACCTCGCAACCAAGAAGAAGGAAGGTACGACCATTTCTTCTGAGGTGTATGTTATAGAAGTTAACATGCCTATATCTTCATCATGGGTACTAGATACTGGATGTGGGTCACATATCTGTACTACCATGCAGAGACTGAAGTGGAGTAGACGATTAGCTCGAGGCGAGATTGAACTCCGAGTCGGCAATGGTGCACCTGTTGCAGCTTTGGCAATCGGAACTTATAGTTTAGTCTTGCCTAGTGGTCTAATGTTGGAATTAAACGGTTGCTTGTACGTTCCTACAATTAGCAGAAACATTATTTCTGTTTCATGTCTTGATAAGAGTGGTTTCATCATTTCTATTAAAGACAAGTCCCTTTCCGTTTACAGAAAGAATGTTTTCTATGCTAATGCCAACATGACCAATGGGTTATATGTCCTTGACATGGACATGCATGTCTATAACATATCAGCCAAGAGGAACAAACCGAACGGTTTGAACCAAACATACCTATGGCATTGTAGGTTAGGCCATATAAACAAGAAACGCATATCCAAGCTACATCGGTTGGGATTGCTGGAGTCATTTGATCTTGAATCATATGACACATGCGAATCTTGTTTATTGGGTAAGATGACCAAATATCCTTTCATCGGACACGGTGAAAGAGCTGGTGATCTTCTAGCACTCATTCATAGTGATGTGCGCGGGCCTTTCAACACAACTCCACGAGGTGGTTATTCATACTTCATCACATTTACTAATGACCTCAGTAGATATGGCTATGTGTATCTCATGAAACACAAGTCAGAATCCTTTGAAATGTTCAAAGAATTCAGGAATGAAGTTGAAAAACAACTTGGCAAAAGTATTAAAACACTACGATCTGATCGAGGTGGAGAATACTTAAGTGGTGAGTTCGATGACTATCTTAGAGAGCATGGGATTTTATCCCAACTCACACCTCCTGGGACTCCACAATGGAATGGTGTTTCTGAAAGGAGGAATCGAACCCTGCTTGACATGGTTCGTTCTATGATGGGTCATTCGACTCTACCAGAATCATTCTAGGGGTATGCGCTGAGCACTGCAATATATACTCTTAACCGAGTTCCAGCCAAGGTGGTTGAAGGAACACCATACCAGCTATGGACGGGCAAATGCCCGGTTCTGTCACACTTAAAGATTTGGGGGCTGTGAGGCTTATGTCAAACGTCTTATGACGAATGGCAAGCTTGACGCCAAGTCTGATAAGTGTTTCTTCGTGGGATACCCAAAGGAAACTCGAGGGTATTCATTCTATCACCCTATCTATAAGAAGGTATTCGTTGCTCGCAATGGTGTCTTCCTCAAGAAGGAATTTCTCTCCAACGCAACTAGTGGGAGAAAGATAGAGCTCAAAGAAATTCGAGACGACGAAGAAACTACCGCGCCGGTTCAGGAACATGAGCTAGAGAAACAAACTATTGTACCTCAAAATGCTCAATATACACAAGAACCCCGTAGGTCTAACCGGTTACGCACACAACCTGAAAGGTATGGATTCCTCCTAACCTTTGAGGGTGACGTAATGCTTATCGACCAGGATGAGCCGGAGACCTACCTCGAGGTAATCAGTTGTCCCGAGGCTGAGGAATGGCGTCAAGCCATGCAGTCCAAAATGGATTCCATGTACACCAACCAAGTATGGACTTTGGTTGATGCACCCGAAGGGATCAAACCCATTGGGTGCAAATGGGTCTTCAAAAAGAAGACTGACATGGATGGTAAGGTGCAAACCTTCAAGGCACGATTGGTAGCAAAAGGATATCGTCAAATACATGGTATCGACTATGACGAAANAGTGGGAGATTGTTGTATTTAGGTGCCCTAGCGGCAATCAAATACCTATGTAACTGTACACTTTATCATGAATGAAAGGCCTTGAAGTATGTTTTATATCTCGTGTAACATAACATAGCTTCAGTCCATAGACGATAGCGCTTCAGTAACATAGATGAGGACTACGATGTTCTGATTATGAGACTGTTACTTCTTGATGAAGGCTATGTCTAGAATATCCCTAGTCGCACCTTATGATAATACGGACGTCATAACGTATCAAGACTAGTACGTACGAGATGAGATAGTTGCGTCTCATAGACTATAGGTATTGTGATATCTTAATCTGTACGTAGGTGCATATTATATCGATAATATGTGACTGGATTGACCAATCTTGAGAATACTGCATGGATCTACAGTAATGTGTTTATCAGTATTCTCAAATCGGCCTTGCTATAACTATCCTCAGACTTGAAGTTATTACATTCTCTGATATGTGGGGCCGTATGCTTTGATTCATAACTAATGCTATCTGAAATACTGGTTGACGTACAGTTATGCGTTGGGTATGCCGCTAAGCATATTTAGAGATGTGAATAACAGATAAAGGATCTGTCCCTTCTACTGTATAGAAGTATAATGTCAATGGGCCCACTGAATAGTAGGACTTGGGAAAGTGCATGGCCATGCCCAGATATGTCGCTATCAGGAGACTGATAAATATCTGATCCCTGCGAGTCTACTTGAGATTCAGTAACATCTTATTTAACTATACAAGGATACACATCTCATGCCTTGTGTTAAATCATGACATTTAGGACAGAAGGATAATAGTTATAGAACGTCTTGTGTCGTAGAAGGTATTGATGAGATGAACGTCTTTTTCATAATCTGGGGGTAATAATGTGTTGCTAGATACCGCTTATTATCTATGATATTAATTTATATTAATATCATTGCCAGTGTTATGGATACCTAAAGGGTCACACACTTAGGACTTGTAAGGGAGTGGTATACTACACTAGTGGGAGTAATATTAAATATATAGTTGTGATAATTTTATATATATATGTATTTCGAAAATACATATGTATTTTAAAATTATATTTTGTTTGTGTCATTTTAATTATATGATAATTATATTTTGACAAAACAAATTTTATTATATATATATATTATTTTTTATTTCATCATTTTAATTATATGATAATTATTGATGTCAAAATAAAATGTAATGTATTTTAATATGGGATGGCCGAAAATTTTAAGAGGAAAAATCCAAGACCATTTGATTTTTTACATAAAGTGTTTTTAATGTCAAATTGAGATATTTGATTATTATTTGATGTAGGGATTCTATTTTGTTTTGTTATGGTGTTTAGAGACATTGCATTTTGATTAATTTGTTATCACAATTTAATGTCTCAAGGAAGCTTCATGGCATCTTACATTAATTAATGTATTATAAAATGAAATAAATCCCACCCCATTTCATAAGTGAGTTTCGGCCATCAATTTCAAGAGAGAAGAAAATACATATGTATGAAATATATAAAATACTAGTGGGAGTAATATTAAATATATAGTTGTGATAATTATATATATATATATGTATTTCGAAAATACATATGTATTTTAAAATTATATTTTGTTTGTGTCATTTTAATTATATGATAATTATATTTTGACAAAACAAATTTTATTATATATATATATTATTTTTTAAATATATACTAGTGGGAGTAATATTAAATATATAGTTGTGATAATTTTATATATATATGTATTTCGAAAATACATATGTATTTTAAAATTATATTTTGTTTGTGTCATTTTAATTATATGATAATTATATTTTGACAAAACAAATTTTATTATATATATATATATTATTTTTTATTTCATTATTTTAATTATATGATAATTATTGATGTCAAAATAAAATGTAATGTATTTTAATATGGGATGACCGAAAATTTTAAGAGGAAAAATCCAAGACCATTTGATTTTTTACATAAAGTATTTTTAATGTCAAATTGAGATATTTGATTATTATTTGATGTAGGGATTCTATTTTGTTTTGTTATGGTGGTTAGAGACATTGCATTTTGATTAATTTATTATCACAATTTAATGTCTCAAGGAAGCTTCATGGCATCTTACATTAATTAATGTATTATAAAATGAAATAAATCCCACCCCATTTCATAAGTGAGTTTCGGCCATCAATTTCAAGAGAGAAGAAAAATCCTATTTTGTGTTCAAAGTTATTTTTCTAAAGTGTTAGAAATATAAAGAAAATATTATAAAGAAATATTTATAAGATAAATATTTTACTATATATTTATTACTCCCAAAGTAGTATTATTATAGTTTTTACTATCCTATATTAAACTTGCTAGCACAAGTTTAATCTAGGACTCCGGAGCAAGTTCGTGTGGATACGTTGGAGGCTTCATACGTTTGGCGCTACGTTCATCTCCTCAAAACCATCCACGACCGTTTCTCCGTTCTCCGTTTTTCACCGTTAAGGTAAATTTCTTACTATAGCTAGTAATTTACGTACGTTGTTCTTGGGTGGAATCGAGTTTTGGACTATAAATTTTTGTTTTCCACTGCGTTATCCAAGCCTCGTTTCCCAACACTAAGTGCAGGGAATGAAACCGGTTAATTTAAAAACCGCAAGATGAGCAAGGAATACCTGGGTGGCGTTGGCCCTCAGCCTCTGTAGTGTTGCCCGGGGAGGGTACCCCGTGCCCCGCTGCTTCATGGGCCTGGGAGGTACCCTCACCACCCGACTCGACCCTCCAAACCCAGCTCCCGTAGTGAAAGACCCTCTCGGTGAAAGGATCCCCGCGCATGAGGACCTCAAGACTCGCTTCCAAGTCAGGAGCGGAGGCCGGTGCAGCATATTCTTGATTGAGCAGATGGTCGTTCCATTTCAGACCGGCCAGGGGAGTGACGAAGGGGGGAACTCGATAAAAACAAATTTTTCCTTCCATCCCCGGTTACTCTAGGGGACTTCGGATATAAACTTCCTACCGGTACGGCCTTTGAAGTATACAAAACCTTCGTTGCCGGTCTTGCCCGGTAGGACCTCAAAACAGAAAAGAAAGAGACGCAAGGAGGGATCAGTTTTGAGGTGGGAGCAAATATTTACAAAGGAATGAAGATACGGGTGGGCGTTAGGAGTTATCTGGCCGGGTAAAATCCTAAACGCATGGCATACTTCGGTTAGGAGGGGGCGAAGAGGAAAAACGATGCCCGCATCTAGGGAAATTTGTATGGAACCCTATCCTATCCTCCCGGTGGGGTTCAACAATGTTGGGCCAGTCATGTTCATACAAAAGGGTATACCCATCCGGGAGCCTCCTACGGATTTTATTCAAAGCGATTTTGGATACATGGGAAGGAATGTCAAGGACGTAGAAGGTGGGGAGCGGAAAGTAACCGGCGGCGTGAAGCCGCTCCTCCCACGCATCTCGGGTTTCATTTTCAGGGGCATAGGGACCCGGTTCGTCATCAACTGCTCATCCCTCCCCATAAAAACCTCACCGGGCATTTAATTAACAGGTTGCGGATTGGGGACAGAAGGGTTGGGAGCCTGACCGGGCATGGAGTCAGGAGAAGAAGACCCGATCGAGGAGGAGGAGTTGGAGTCCTCAGAGGAGCAGTCCTCTGAGGACGAAATCCTATGGCTATCTAAAGAAGACATGACCGGGAAACTAATTAGAGAAGGAAGGGAAACTTACTTGACTCGGAGGGCTGGATAGCGAAAGAAAGGAACTTGACTGGTGAGAGCTCTGAGACTTGAATCGTGAAAAGTGAACAAAGGAGAGGGGTGGAGGTCTTTATATAGGAAGAGGGAAGCCAAAAGGTGGCGACGTGGCCTATGCAGAGCGCGCTGCGTCAGGCGGCGCAATGATGACCCACTGGCAGACGAAACGACGGGTCTGCAGCCGACTGTTGCAGCGGTTGATGTGCAACACGTGGCAAAATTTAAAATTCAAATTTCGAAATTTTCAGGCAGGAAAAGCCTGAAATTCGAATTAAAAGTCCTATTTCAGAGTTTTTACTTCCCGCTCATGGCAAAATTGCATAACCGTGAAGTGGAGGGCTTATTGATGGGTGTATTCCACCCATGACCGGTCAAAAGAAAAGACCGAATAGTTGACCGGTCAATCCGAAAGAACAGGGAAGGGATATTTTAATTGTCGGCCGGAGGACACTCGAGATGGCCAAAAGATTACCGGTATACTTCAGAAAAGTATACCGGTCAAACTACTACATGGCTTCATTCATCCCTCAAATGCAGTAAACTAACCTTTGGGAAACTACCCGGTGTAGTTTTTAGAGTTAGAAAGCGTCGACAGAAGATAATCTAAAAGGGCTTGGCGTGTAGCGACCCATGTCAGTGGAGGATCGCTGGAGATGCTGAAGGAATCTGTCCAAGCCAGTACGCGACAAGGGCACAATCTCCCTCGCAAGGCGACAAGGCAGCAAGAGGACGAAGGCCATCACTTCTCACCTTCCGAGAACGTGCCTCCACGTGGGTGCACGTTGCCCTGTCCCCCTTAGCCTAGTATAAATACTGCTGTAGCTCTCAGAAGTAGGGATCCGAATTCATTCTCTCTAAACTCCCTTGTAAAAGCACCCGTGCATTCTCTGTTATAATATAAATTGGGCTACAGGTGTTCCACCTAAAGTCCTACCGGTCACTCTGCGTGTTTTTACCTTTCTTACTTTACCAAATCAAGCAAACTATTCTAGACCCGGTCTAGTATAGTTTGATCAGTCAAGTAATTTACACCATCAGTCTTTTAATGAATCTAGCCCAATTATCTGACCTAGTCCACTAGTCTAAATGATAGAGAGATAGAAAGAGGCAGTGGAGATGTGGAGGTTGTTGCAGATCTGGAAGCTGCTGCAGACCATGACAAATAATTGGCAAGAAAGATAAGTCTTCTCTCTCTATCTCGCGCGTTCCCTTGCACTTCAAAAATGGAGATGCGTCTCCGAGATGGAGACACAGTCATTGACATTTCCGTATAACATAGTCGCCCAAGGAATAAAAAGCTAGGCGACCAATTTAGTGTCCACAAACGCTCGCCCAGACGCCTAAGTGTTGCCTAGGCGACGCATTGAAAACTATGCTTTTGCATCGGTTTAATAACCAATGTAAAAAATGTTAGCACTGATTGTTTGTTGCCTTCTGCATCGATAAAGAACTGATGCAAATGGTAAAAAAATAACGAATTCAAATGGTATTTTCTGCAATAGTGTTTTGACAAAGAATTTGATATCCTTAGCTCGTCTTAACATAAACGGTTTCAATTTCCAGGATAAAGGTGTAGTTACGAGTGTCTACAGGGTTGTGTTGCGGCAAGTTTTGTTATTGTTAATTGTACCCTCTGAGATTCATAAATTTGAATAATTTGATGATAGTCTTGATGTTGAGGTGGGGGTTCCACATGTTGAGATTGAGACTATCGATCACCTACAAGAATCAGCTACATTTGTTTCTGTGCCTCAGTGAGGCGCTCTGCACCCCAGGAGGGAGCGACCTCGGCTCAGGTGGAGCATCTGAGACACTAGGTTAGTGTCATCTATTTATGTTCAAGTTCTTTGAAGAGCCATTTAGACTCTAGGTGGAATTTGCTTCTGTTGGTGTTTCAGCTTGAGTTATTTGTCCCCGGGCATAGGGTAATCCCGTTTGGTGTTTTGCAACACTTCTGGACTCAAGTGAAACAATATATTTTCTGTTTCTATTTCTATTTTAGTAACATCTGTGTCTGAGGTTGCACTTCTAATACCTACAATACATCAGGTCACTTCTTTGAAGAAATTTGGTATTTTTACACATCTAATTCTCGTGCATCTACTTTCTTATGAGAGCATTCAAGTCAAGGTAGAGATTTGTTAGAAAATGCCTTGAATTTATTTTATAGATCTATCAGGATTAGGATTGTTATTAAGATTATGATTGTTATATATTTAGTAATATTAGGATTACCCATATAGAAAAGGAAACAAAATAAATGAAAGAAAAGGAAAGAAAAACCTAATGATATTTAGAACAACATACAAAAAATACTCTTATAAAAAAAGAAAAGTAGTCATGAAGTACACGTATTGATAAGGTTCTTTTCTGGGACGTCAAAAAATTCATTTATATAATCTATTGGGTTAAGAAAAAAAGATTTTTTTAGACTAGAGGCCAACAGATTCAAAATTTAAAAAACCCCTCTTTTTATTTTTAAATTAAAAAATAATAATTTTTTTGGGCATTCCAATTATAATAATTTTTTAGACATCTAGAAAAGAAACTTATTAGCGCACTCGATAGCTACATTTTCCTTTTCTAAGAGTATTTTTGTATCTTTTCATTTCTTTTTCTATTATTTTATTTTATTTTATTTCTTTTTTTATAATATTAATTTTATTTTTTGAACTTCCCAAAAACTATTTTCTTTTTATTCTGGAAAACAAAAAAATGAAAATGTTTGATTTGAAATAATGAAGTATATGTTAATTTTTTTCTCATTTTGTTTTTTTATTCGAACACAAACAATTTCGAAATTTTAAAAAATTATTTAAAAGATTTAGAAATGAAATAAAAAAACCTCTTTTTAAAAGGAAACAAAGAGAAGAAAAAGAAGGTAAAAAGGGGATTACGAACAAATAAAAGGAAAATAGAAAATGAGTTATGTTATCTCATATGGTTTGGAAAATAGGCCCAATGCACCTTCTTTACCGAAAAATGATGGAAAGATGGACAGAAAATGATCAAAGGGGATATGTGCACTGTTTTGAAACCACGAGAATTTTATAAATAAGTTTTAAAAATAGAAACATTGATGTCCATTTTTTAGGGCTATCAACGGATAGCCGAAAATCCGATTACTGTCCGCATCCGTATCCCTTTAAAGAGAAAGCATCCGTTTTAAACGGATATTATACGTATCCGATTAAGGATATCTGATTACTAAACGGATACGAATTCGGTAATTGTATATCCAATCCATTTAAAATCCGATTCGAATATGCATCCGTTTAAGTAACTGTTTATCTGAATATCCGATCCGTTATATACAATTTTTCCTAATTTTTTTATGTTTATATTTTGTTTCCCTAGTGATATTTCAAACTATAAGACATTTTTATATACAAAATAAATGTGTAGACACATAAATATATGTACATACATATAAAAATATGTGTATATGTGTGCTGTGTATATATTTTTATCATACGAAGTTATCGTAGAATATCATAAACAATGAAAACAAAGAAAATAAATATCCCATAACAAATTATAGTTAATTTAATAATAGTTTGACTTTAATCTAATTTAAAATTAAAGTATTGTTTAATTTGATTTTTAAAATTGGAAACAGATACAGATATATCCGATATCCGACCGATATCCAACAGATGCAGATACGGTTTTGATTTTCAATTTCCGTCAAGATCCGTATCCGAATTCGATATCCGAAAAAAATAAACGGATACGGATTTGGTAATGATACATCTGATCCGATTAATATCCGTTTACACCCCTACCATTTTTTAAAGGATAAAGCTATTTGTACATCAAAATTTGTACCCTATTTTGTACCCAAAGGCATGCACCGATATTTTGTGCTAGTGTGATGTCAGTGTGATGTTTTACATTGTCAAAAAATATCATTGCAATTTTTTAAAATTGAACTAACATTTTCTACTCGTGTGTACCGTTAAAATGTCGGTGCAATTTTTTGACTACATTTTTGGGGTACCCTTAGCATGGTTAGTTGTTTTTTAAACTCTAGAGGTACTGAAGCTACGAATTATTTGTTATCTAAGAATTGCGCAAGAGATTACGTCTATGCTCTCAAAACTGCGAAAAATATGAAGCTAACTTTTAATTTTCAATGTTCCAAGTCAAAAGCAGGAGATTTTATATCTTCTTTCAAAACAATATAATGACATAAATCTTCGAGTACATTTCTTTTCTTCAATGTGATGTTTTATAGTCAAAGTAGATAAATTTTTAGTGTCATTTAAAATAGTGAAATTTGCACTAAATAGGACTAAAACATAATGACTTTTCTAATGTAGGACTTAAACTTTTTTATTCCTTAAATAGGATTTAATAATGACCTAGTGGAAGAAACAATGTCCAGTAATGATGGACATTTAATTGAATAATGACTACTTGATAATGACCAAAGGTCCTACATAGGGAAATAAAAACATATAGTCCTATATTGGGAAAGTCATTATGTTTTAGTCCTATTTAGGTAAATTTCTCAATAAAATATTCTTATAAGAAAAATTTAACTATAACATTTTTATACTAACAATAAGGCAAATTTTATTTAATTAAAAGTTATTCAAAAGTTGTTGTATTCACCTATTCAATAGTTAAATTAACATATCTTATGTGGCATAGAGAAATACTTCCGCCGTTCTGAAATAGATTACAATTTTTTTTCTTTCTCTCTTGATAACTTTTGTTTATTTGTCTGCTTTCATTAAATATTTGTTAAAATAAAATATTATTGTCACTTCTCGTTTTCTAGAATTTTTGACACAATTTTTTAATATGTACTTATTTCTTATTGATATATACCAATTTGTAAATAAAACCATTCCAAAAGATGAGAAATTTTGCCTCGTAACTCGGGATGAAGGGAGTAAAAATTTGACACTTCGAGATAGAAAGAGAACATATGTTAAGAAGTTTGACCAACATGTGATAAAAAATGGGAGAAAGATCAAAGTAGGACTATAACATTGAAAAAATACCAACATAAGACTTCCATATTTTTATTCCCGAAATAGGACTTACATTATCAAACATGGTCATGTACATTACTAAAAAATATAGTAATGTGCACATGTACCGTGCCACATTACCGCAGTGCAAAGTCCTATTTCGAGAAAAAAAAACATGAAAGTCTTATTTTGGTACTTTCCTCTATGTTTTAGTCCTATATAGGGTGATTTCTATAAAAAAAAATTAAAAATTTGACACTTAGGGACGGAAAGAGTATTTTTAAAATACTTAAATTGTATTTTTTCTTTATGTATAGATATATATAAATTTGTAAATAAAATAAAGATATGAAAATGAGGTTTTATATGTTGTTCTTTTTATATTTAAAGGGAGTAATTTAATTAAAAAGAAAAGTAACCCTACCTAAGAAAATGAAGTAATTAGGTGCTTGAGAACGGGACAACTGGACAAGTACCCGGCCAAAATAAATCTTGCATTAGTCAATTCTTTCCATCATCACTATGTATTTTGCTTTTTGGATGGAGTAAATTATCATCTACCCAGCCATGCAAGTCTTGTTCTAAAACGGAGTGTGCGTGCGTGCGTGTGTGTGTGTATATATATATAATGTGAAATTGTGAATCTATGCATAGAGAAAATAATAGCAAAATTTAATGATAATAGCAAAATGAAGAAAATAATAATAATAGTAATATTTGTGTTTCTTTATCTATTTCTTCACAGTGCAGACTCCGACGGGGAGCCGTTCCAGCAAAATGACGGGCGGGGGTCCTCTGATAATCATCTTGTGTGGATTATTTTGGCTATCATAGGGCTCATTATTGTGGTTATCATATTATCATATGTTGTGTGCAAGAAATGTGGTAAAGGTAAGAGTAGGATGGCAAAATCCATAAATTCTTTTAAATTCATTTTATTTAACCAATGAATTTTAAAAATGGCCGTCCATATGAATAGATGATTTATTTATTTAGGCATTCCCACTTATCAAATATTACAAACGTAGTTCCTGCAGTTTCTTTGATTCGAATAGTTCTTCGTCACCGTACCTCCTGATGTCAACTACGTACTTAATTAATAAATAGAAATACTCCACCTCTCCTTTATATATATATATATATATACACGCCTATGTATGGTTAAGGAGTTGCATTTGGATTGTCTTGTGCAAAGAAGACAGAAACAATAACTTTCAGGTTCTGCGATGAAGTCAAAGACTAGGCTTAGGGTTCTTCTCAGAGAGCATGGGGGAGGGGTTTAAATGAGAGAAGGGAGTGATAAATTACTTTTTTTTTTTTAACTCTGCATTAAATGGGTAGATTATAATCTACAACAGATGTGACAAAGAAAAAATTATCTATAATTATGGACCACTTATGGAATTACTCTTATTTAATTAAATTAAAAAGGGTATAGAAATAAAGAAACAGAACTTGCATATCAAGTGCTTTTTTATTTTTTATTTTTTTGAAATTTATCAAAAATATACTCTGTATGTAGGAGGACGTGAAGACGCTGAAACACAAACAAATGCCGTAGTGTGCCGCAAAGCTGTCTTTGGCGACATCAAAAAATTGAATTTCCTGGGGTAAAGTCAGGGGTCTTGATCTCAGGAAACCAAGCTAATTAAGGTATGTACGTATTTACAGACTTATAGATTTGGACGACTGTCGATCCAGTTCTAAACTTCTAATCAAAATATTTTACTGATCATTTCCAGTTCTATTATTAGTCACTCTAAATCTTCAGTCATTATTTACATCACTCTTTATATCACTCACTTCACACCCTGTAGTGCCTCACATCTACTGCAATGATTACACAATTTATAATATTCTTTAATATTTATACATTTCTAATTAAATTTGTTGATTTATGAATTCACTCTTAAGGAATAATTGTGTACATGGATGTTTATATAGGTGAGGATCCCTACATGGACTAGGATTCACCAAATAAGTAAACTAACATAAATAACAATTCTGCTATAACTAGACTTCTTTCCATATATGTCTAACATCCCCCCTCAAGCTGAACGCCGTGAAACGAGAGGAAGCTTGGCAACCAATGCAGTGTAGCGTGGCGAGGCAAGAGCTTTTGTGAGAAGGTCTGCCGGCTGCTCATTAGAAGGAACATAAGAAACCGTCATTTTCTCTGCAATTACTTGTTCTCGTACAAAGTGGCAATCTGTTCCGACATGTTTCATGCGCTTATGGAAGACTGGATTCTTAGTCAGACAGATGGTGGACTGGTTGTCGCATAGAAGATGTGGAGGAGGGAGCTTGATTTGTAAAATGTCAAACAAGTAGGTGAGCCACATCACCTCAGCTGCTGCGGCCGATAGGGCTCTGTACTCGGCTTCGGTGGACGAGCGTGAGACACGACATTGTTTCTCCGTACTCCAAGAGAGTAAATTAGAGCCAAGATATATCAAGTAACCTTTAACGGACCGTCCATCTGTCATATCGTTGGCCCAATCAGAATCAGAATATGCATAGATGGTCTGTGGGCCTCGCCGAAAGACCAAGCCATGATCAATGGTTCCTTTGACATATCGCAGGATGCGTGTCAAGGACTGAAAATCTTGCTCTGTAGGTGCATGCATCCTTTGACAAACATAATTCACAGCAAACTGAATGTCTGGACGCGTGTTTGTCAAGTATTGGAGAGAGCCAACTAAACTCCGGAAAAAGGTGGGATTGTCGAATGGACGGCTCACCCCCTCCTCGGGCTGCCGTACGGGTAGGGGCATGGGGGCCGGTTTGCAATCCTCGACTCCTGCTTTATGAAGAAGTTCACGGGCATATTTTTCCTGAGATAGAAGCAGATGATCCTTTGTGCGTGTGACTTCAAGACCAAGAAAGTAGTGAAGTGGGCCAAGATTCTTCATTTGAAATTCCTTTTGCATAGCCTCGATGAATGAAGAGATAAGAGGTGAGGCACTGCCAGTGACAATAATATCATCAACATAGAGAAGGACAATGAGAATGCCAGAGGGAGAGTGCTTAACAAAGAAGCTGGTGTCATGTTCATTTTTCCCAAAGCCATAGTCAACAAGGAACCCGGACAGACGCTGGTACCAAGCCCAGGGTGCCTGTTTCAGCCCATAAAGAGATTTCTTTAGTTTGCACACATAATGAGGATACTGCTGATCTACATATCCGGGAGGCTGCTTCATATATATTTCATCAGGAATGACACCGTGAAGGAAAGCATTGGAGACATCCAATTGATGAAGGGGCCAGTTGTGATTGACCGCTAGAGAAAGAACCACCCGAATAGTCTGCTGTTTGACCACAGGGCTAAAGGTCTCAGAGTAGTCCAAACCATATTCCTGTGTGTAGCCCTTGGCCACAAGACGGGCCTTGTACCTGGAGACAGAACCATCAGAGTTATGCTTAATTTTATAAATGCACTTACATCCAATAGGAACCCGATCTGAAGGTGCCGGAACAAGCTCCCATGTTTGCTGATCAATCAAGGCTTTATACTCATCATCCATAGCGTGACACCAATAACTGTTTTGGGAGGCATCTTTATAGGTAACAGGCTCGGTGGTGGGTGGAGAAGAGGTAGAGGAGGTGGAGTAGAGTTTAGGTTTGAAGATACCACTTCGTGCACGAGTGGTCATGGGGTGCCTGTTGGGTAATGGTGGGGGAGATGGGATTGGTGATGATTCGGGACTTGTCATTGTGGGGGAGAGGCTGCCAAATTGGATAGGTGTGGGAGTGGAGTGAGGTTGGTTTGTGGGGCTGACTGTGTCGGGGTGGGGGGTTGGCCTCGGTGTGGGTTGAGGGACGGGGCTGGGAGGGGATGGGTGGCGGGAACTGGGCGGGCTGGGTTGGTTTTGGGTGCTGGGCGGGATGGCTGGGGTACGGGTAGTGAGGGGGTTCAGGTTTGGGAGAGTGGGTAGGGCCGAGAGANAAAAAATAAAATCAACTCTTTGTTTATAAAATGTTTAATATTGTTTTTTAAATATGTAAGTTTTATTTTTTAAACTTAGTGACATAACTGAAGTAAATTATTATAGATTTGGTCAAATGTTATACATTATTTACTCTTAAGTATTTATAAATAAAAGAGAGTGTGTGTGCCTATATATATATATATATATATATATATATATATATATATATAAATATATATATATATATATATATATATATATAAAATTTTAAAATATGTTTAAACCACCGGTTCGACCAGTTGAACCACTGGTTCGACCAGTAAACCAGTGAACCAGTACCGAGACCGGTTCGGTCACCGGTCCAGTTCTGAAAACTATGGTTTGAACATAACGCTCAAGTATTTTGCAAAACTTGGTTATATAGTATTCCCTCCGTTTGAAAAAACCCTTCCCATTTTGATTTGGGGCAAAAATAAAGAACTGTTAAATTATAGTTGATTTTCAATTTTGCCTCTGATGTGATGGGTAAAAGTAAGATGTGATGGATAGATTATTAGAGAAAAAATATGATGTGATAGGTAGGGTGTGAAAAAGTAAGGGTAAACGTGGTTTTTTTTAAAAAAATGGAAGTGTTTTGTTGGAAGTGAAAAAAATGAAAGAGGAAGTGTTTTTTTAGAACGGAGGGAGTACAAAATAATAAAATTTGATTTTGTGAATAATCAACAGATAATTTCAATTGAGAAGGAGAGAGTAACATATACTTGTAAGTTGTAACGACGTTTGATTTTAGGATCATGCTACATTTACACCAAAAATTGTAGTCCAAACTTACACCAAAGGTATACACCAATATTTTGATGATTCATACTGACACAAAATGTTGGTGCGTTAACAAAAATTTGCACTGACATAAAGTATTGGTGTGTTAACAAAAATTAGCATCACACCAATATAAAATGTTGGTGCACATCTGCAGTGTACAAATAACTTTATCCTTGATTTTAAGATTTAAAAAATATGGTTCATCATTAAAATACAATTAAATGTTAAGTCTAGTGTGACAAAGTAGATATGCCATGATTTAAGTATTTCTCAACGAATATTTGTTTAAATAAATACTCCAAGGCGTGTATGTTGTCAATATCATGATTCTTGACTCTTGAGATTGCTTTCACCGTTTTACCTTAGGTAGAACCTTACTTTGACTATAAACATTTTGATTAACGATTATAGAAATAGTATATCCTAAAAATTCGCATCTTAATAACTTTAACAACAGTTTACATAACAATTTTTATAGTAAAATTTGCACTAAATAGGACTAAAACATAATGACTTTCCTAATGTAGGAGTTAAACTTTTTTATTTCCTAAATAAGACTTAATAATGACCTTGTGGGAGGAATAATGTCCAATAATGATGGACATTTGCTTGAATAATGACTACTTGATAATGACCAAAAGTCCTACATTGAGAAATAAAAACATATGGTCATATATTGGGAAAGTCATTATGTTTTAATCCTATTTAGGTAAATTTCTCATTTTTATATGGGTTATGCTACTTTGACCCCAAACTTGTAGTCCCACGTTTAACCACCTCTCGTAGATATTTACATGCACGGAACAATGTCGATGTCTATGAATGTCTCAAAATAATTTTTCTCCTCATATATACTTTTGAAAAAAACAACTTCTTTCCAGTGACCATCCGGTCAAGTCAGAAGAAGCCGTCGGGATGTGACTCATCCATTTTTTTCTAAAAAAATTGTAAGAGTTGGTAAAAAGAATCCAATGGTCAGAGTAAATAATTCGGAGTACAAAATTAAAAGCATTGTGACCAATAGGAAACAATATGCGGAGTATATAAGTAGGGCCCAAATGCATTTGAGAATAACTTCAATGACAATGTTTAAATATACTCTCTAGCTTTTTCAAAGTTAATCTAAATTATTAAAATTGTTTGAAATTTAAGACTCCATTTGATATACAAAATTGATAAAATTGGAATTGAATTATAACTGAAATTATATGAAGTTGAATTGGATGAAAGAGAAAGACCAAATTAGGACTAAAATATTGAAAATATACCAAAATAGGATTTCCATGTTTTTATTCTCGAAATAGGACTTACATTACCATACATGGTCATATACATTACCAAAAAAGTACAGTAATTTGTACATGTACACCACCACATTACAACAAGGCAAAGTCACATTAGCACAATGCAAAGTCTTATTTCAGAAAAAAACATGAAAGTCCTATTTCGGTACTTTTTTTATGTTTTAGTCCTATTTAAGGTGATTTCTATTGGAGAAAATTGAATTCTCCAATTTCAATTCATATTTTTGTGCTATCAAACAACAGAATTGGAATTGAGGTCTCCAGGTCCAATTCCATGACTTGAATTTCGTGTACCAAACAGAACCTAATACTAATTGAAAATGTTGTTTTCAAACAAGACAAACTTTAATGTCTTAGAAAAAGACATATATGATGTGACTTTCCGAAATTACCCTTTGATGTGATTGATAAAATATGATGTGATGGGTAGATTAATAGAGAAAAAGTGTGATGTGATAGGTAGCTTAAGAATTAATAGGGATAAAAGTAACTTTTTAATAGAAAAAGAAAAGTATTTTAATGAAGAATGAAAAAAGAAAGAGAAAGAATTTTGTGAAACAAAAGAATC